GTTACTAGAGCAAAACGTAGCAGCTCTCTGCGGTATCACCAAGTCTGTGCTTGCCTTGGAGCACACAGTCCAGCTCCACGGCCTGGGAAATCCTAACCAGGACCCTCTCAGCTTAAGCCATCACTGGAAAGCAGGTGCCCAGGGCTGGCTGCACAGCCCAGTGGGCCAGCTGAAAAGACCAGTAAAACCAGTCAGTACCTCTGTGAGCCAAAAGCCTTCACTGCGTGGCAAAAACGAGAACAAAGCAATGACTTCTGCAAGGAGCGCGAGATCCTGGGATCTGTCCAGATGACTCCAGCTGCCTCTCCCAGCCTGGATTTTCCTACAGGAGTATGACTGGATGAAGGGCAGCTGGAATGAGGAAACCAAAAAGGGAATTGGGCAGGAGATCCATAGCCACCACGTGCAAGGGGAGGCAAGGTGCAAAAGTGGCTTTGGGTGCTGAGGGAAGTCAGACAAAGGCTTTGGACCTCATGCTGGCTGAACTCCAAGCAGTGCAGAAGGAGCAGGAGGAAGGAGTTGGGCTGCTGCTGAGCGAGGGATCAGAAGGGAACAGGAATGTAAACATCAGTGGGTGCAGAAGAAGACAGTGTCAGCATCTGCTGGAGCTCTTTGGCAGAGATAGTAAAGGAAGCAGGACAGACTGCCTTGGTGGGACCCCCGTGCAATGGATGTCATGGTGGAGCAAGGGACAAGAACGAACAAAACCTTTCTGAGTCTGGACAAACTGGAGACAAAAAACAGGCAGGTAAAGAAGAGTTTATTTCTGACAAGCAACAGTTTAAGAGAGCCATTGAGAGCACCCTTTAGAGACAAGCTGGAGAGGACCTGGGCTGCAGCAGGCAGCAAGTGGGAATGGGGGGGCATGACCCAGCAGTGTCAGGAGAGGGATGGATGAGGTAGCAACAGCACTTGGACATGCCACCATGCTGCTGGGACCTCAGTTCAATGTATGCTCACAGCACTGCTTCTGCCCAGCACATGTGGACCTCAGGTGGAACTCCACTATGGGCTCTTCCCTGCAGGGACAATGCTCTCACCACTGGCCAGATCTACACCAGCTGAAAGAGTCTTGATGATGGTCCTGTCTACAGCAGTCATTACACCGTGCCTTGGCAATGGACCAAGCCCTGCCTTACAGCACCAGTAGCTTGAACTTACCTGATGTATGTGTCCACATCTGGCCCCGCCCTGGCACATCTCCAGGTGTGACGCACGAGGATGGTGTTGGCAAATTTCCACCTGTACCACCCACAGGCTTTGTGCAAGGATTCACTCCTATGTTTCCACTTTGGCCACTGCCCAGGGCTGGGTGAGAGCAGCACTGTGTGGTTCTGTGCTGGCAGGAGCCCATGGCTCACCTTACCCGAGCTCCCCTTCCTGGAAACCAGCAACAGGTCTATCTTTCCCAGTCAAGAGCCTTGTCTCAGAGGTACCCTTAGCCTGGGCAGCTTCAGTATAGGGAAAAACCGTGTAGGGTAAAACACATGGGCAGGGAAGGAATGGGACAGCGGAAGAGAAATGACCGTGTACAGTCACACAGAGTCCAGCCAGAGATTTTTACACCAGAGTTCTAAGTGGTCCATTAACATGTAAGACCAGAGCACAGCTTGGACAACCACCAGCACTGCAACCAGGCTCCCCCAAAAGCTGCTGGTGAAGCACCATGTCTGTAGGGGAACTCCTGTGATGCAGAGGCCCATGGGCAGGAGCTCCAAGCTCAGGGCTTTGCAGTGATGGCGCTGGGGAGGAGGAGGAGAGTCTCAGCCCAATAAGAGGAAGAGATGTGAGCTCTTGGGGTGCAGAAACAGAGCCATGTCCAAGCCTCACGAGCTGGGAAAAGCAGGTACCAGCATTAGCACCCAGGCCACCACCCTTTGCCTCTGCCCACGGTGATTTTGTACAAGTTCCTCCTGCTCTCATCACCCACCCTGTCCTACCAGGGCACAGGGAATGGCTTATGCTGCCAGCATTCTCCAGTGTGGCCGGTCCTGCCCCACAGCTCCCTCCCCACTGAATACTCCTCCTCATATGCTTCTTTTAAAACTTTTATTCAACAATATAGAATTATTTTAATTATAACGCAGAACTGTCCATTGTGATACTACACCCCCTGCCACCCCTGTGCCCAGGCACAGACAGGCGCAAGCTGGCTAACTGTGGTCTGTCAGAGGCTGGGGGGGCACAGCCAGAACGGAGGAAAGTACAACTAACCAACAACTGCTTTACACACCCTTCACATTTCCACACTTTCTGGGTCAGGAAGAGCTCAACAAGGAACCAGAGGCAGAAGAACCTTTAACGCTCGGAGGGAAGGGCTGCAGTCATAAAGAGGCCAGTGCCGTCCAGCCAGGCGTGCTGCCCGGCTCTCAGCCCTGCCCGTGCCTCGCAGTCTGCCCGCCGTCACTCTACACACGCCGACAGGACATTTGATTTGGTTCTCATTCTGCTTATGGAAAATTGGGAGCAACAGCATCGGACCTAAGGAGAGACGGGAGGAGGGAAGTGAGCGTCATGGGGCACTGCCAGCTCGACACAAGAGCTTCTCCAGCCCCAGGTGATGAAGAGATGGCTGGGCTCGCTGCCCCACATCTGCCACCCTGCTGCCAGCCATGCCTGGCCGCACCCTCCGTGTCCCTCTGGATGTGGGGACAGTGAGGGATACTCAACCTGCTTTGGAAGGGGTGGCAGGGTTAGAAGGGAAGGCAAGGGGGAGACACAGCCCAGCAAAGCAGCACTTTCATAGCCAGCCAGACACAAATTTGGACTTTTTTCTCCCCAACCTCCTATGTCCAGTCTCCCTCCACTGCTGTAAACATCTCCTCCAGTCCTGCTAAAGGCTCCCGTCATGCCACAGCACACTTGTAACAGGCACAGACAAGCTGGGGAAGTTGTTTCTGCATCCCTCTCCTACCACATCCCTCAGCGGCTGCTGTGGTTCTGGTTTTGAGCCTTCCTCTCACAAAGCACTCAGCCAAACACACACTCTACCTCTGCTAGAAAGCTGGGGCCAGGCCAGCTGAAAGGCCAGGATGTGCACCAGGACTCTCCCAACTTTGGCCAGGAGAAAGTATATGAAGATGAATGTTCCCCAGTCTCCTTTCTTCCTAAGGATAAGACACGGTCTTCTTCAGCTCTCAGCTGTCCCTGCAGGCAGGACAGCACTTTGCTAAGGCCCAGAGCAGAGCAGGGTTTCCCGCCCCAAGTGCTGGAAGGGCTCGTGGGTGCAGAGAGGAACTGGCCTGAGCTGCAGCCAAGTGTCCACGCCACCCTGGGATCAGGAGACTCCACACCCTACACTTGCTCAGCTGCTGTGTTTCCCTCTGGGATTAATCTGTCACAGCTCATTCTACCCTAGAGCTGAGGTAGGGATGTGGGGAGATACAGGGCAGGTTATTCCAGCCTCTGGTTACTGCAACCAGGGAAAGCCATTTACCCATTTCACTTGCTGGGAAGAGCATCTGTCTTCCTCTGCTTGAAGGTACCAGGAAAGAATTTCTGACTCAGATTTACAGAACTGATACTTCCCAAAGCACTGCCTTGAAACTCTACCATCAGGTTTGGACACTGTCAAGCACTCATATACAATGATCAACATTTTTCACCTATCAAAATTCCCACACTAAACCTGTTCTTCTCCCCCACGCCTCTTCTGCCTCAGCTCTCCCAAAGCTGGGAATGCCAACACACAAGAACTGGAAAACAGGCAAGTTTCCCCACAGCAACTTGGACAGACCATGAGAAACAGCCACTCCTGCCTCTTCTCAATGGAGCAGTTCAATACATGTTTAAAATAAGTTCAGAAATCAATGTTAAAATCCCAAACCAACCATGCTGGTATTAGCACAGCTTAAGAGCACAAAAGACTCTCAGGACTTTCAGGCCAGGGAGCCTGTAGGTTGGGCAGATGGAAGGACAGAAGGCCAGAAACACATACCAAAGCCTTCAGCAGCATCTGCAGGAGAGTTAATGTGAGTGAGGGCCCTGTGGCACAGCAGCACCACCACAGACTCCTCCTCAGCCTGCACACTGATAACCGAGCTCACGCACTAGTTGCATCCCAGAGTGGAAGGAAAGAAAATCTACTCCCTGCTCAGCACATCCTTACAAAAAGCCATCCACCCAGGCTGAGAGGAGACAAGCACAGGGGTGTGCACGTGGACTGGCTGAGACCAACGTACCACAACAGCTGACTGCCACGCTGTACCAAAACCTTGCACCTCCTCTACAGCCCCGTGGAAGTGGGGACAATCTGCCACAGTGAAACTCTGAGGGCTGACAGCACGAAGAACTGCAACCAAAGACTAAGAGATCCCAAAATACTCAGGCAAGAGGGGCTGGAAGAGCGAACCTGACCTCCTCAAGGAGGCGATGCCTTCAGCTCTCACTCTTTCTGGCTATCCCATAGATTTGAGACTGCAGACGTTCAGACGTATAGATATTTATTGGTTTCAGTGAATTATACAAATGGATTGACCTGCTATCGATGCCAATAGAACTTTATTGGAATATGGAATGTAAACAGATGTTTCAAATAGAAACATTGCAACCTTATAAAAAAATTAACTATTTCGACAATGCCGCAGAAGGAAATTCTGTGTTTAGGTGCTGGTGGGAAAACACCATCTCCAGCTTCTAGGTTTGAGTGTCACCAGAACCACTTGATGAAGTTACACACAGAACAAGTAGAGGAGGCAACTGTGAATTGTGGGGCTATAAAGCCATCGAGGGATCTGATGAAAGAACCCGCAAGACAAACCCCCCACCCCCCGCAACAGGATCGGCACCCCAGAATCCAAAAAATGTCTGACCTTGTTAAAACACTACATGGGATCCCAAGTCCCGGATCAGTGGCTGCACAGCCCCCTCCCCAACAGACCACACCGCTGGTTGCTGATCTTTCCCCCTCCCTGTGCTCTCCTCCCTGGTCTCCTCTCCACTCCTCCGTCCTGCAGCGCTGGATTGAAC